AGTTTAGCCCTCATGTAGGACACTACAATTTCTCAATGTTCCCGTGCATCAGTCGAGAATATCCTCTCCGGTAGAATGTCTATCAGTGTGGCCCGTTTGGTTTTAAATCAAATAGAGCTATTATAATTTCGTTATGCAACTCTGATTTTTCAACACAGTACACTACACGCCAAAAGAAACTTTACCCTCGTACCTTTATGAATTACTGAAAAACTATCAAAGATATGTTAGAAGGTATAAGTTTACAAGAAAGCTTAACAACACAGCTTTATGAAAATCACGAAAAGAAATTCTCAAATGCATTCATATATAGGTGAAATGCATCCTTTCCAGAAGAGTTAACTTGTCCTATTTTCGTCCATGTCGAAATAAACCAACAACAGTGATTTAGATGTCTTTTAAAACATTTTCTGCTGATTTTCATTAGTGAAAACAAGTAAAACGTGCCTTTGGTATTGTGAAAAAGTGTTTAGGAACATCTAAAATTAGCTTTGTTAACATTTTTGCTTGCAAAGTAACACTTTTCCATTTTCTGTGTACACATAACAATATTGCCAAAAACGCAGCCATATTCAAGCGGTATTTGCATCCATTTCACATGTGAAATGACTCTATAGGGTATGAAGAGAGACTAGAATGCATGATATGATACACAAGTACGAGATATATGCCACGACAAACAGCTGAAGAGAGAGAAAGGGCCATTGGGATGGAGCGGATGGGGTCGACATACAATGCCGCTGCCAACGCCCTCGGATGCCACCGTATCACAGTTCTACGATTTATTCAGGGTTTCAGTCAGACTGGGTCACCGTAGACAGACCAAGTAGTGGACGTCCACGCATCACAAAGCCAGCTGAAGATACGTACCTCCGTCACTAAGGCCGGAGGGTAATGTTTCTTTTGGCGATATTTGTATGTTCATTCCATTCTATCATAACCGAGTTATTAAGATTTAAAACAAAAATACATAAAGTGTTGGAAAAACAGAAGTATATAACGTGATTATATACCTCTGAATGACTTTAATTAACCAATCACAATCCAGTATTTACTGAAGTCAGAACTAGCTGTTTTAAAGTTGGTGTAAGTTCTAAGATTTGGAGGTAGTGCCAGAAGATAACATTCAAACGGGGTACTTATATATAGTTTTAATATTTTCCGTTTAAAGAAGCACTTACTGTTCCATTCCAAGATTGATAAAACTGATCAACAAGAACCCTTTTAACAGTAGCTTTAAGAACATTTGGAGAAACAATATACAATGTATACTGTGACATCCACACGATATAAGCCAGAATTCCGTAGGATATTTTCTATTGCCTTAAGTAGGTTAAACTTATGATTCGATGAGGTGGACCTCAAGGTATACAACAGAGAGTTTATTTTGTATGAATTTGTCTGGGAACCGCAACATTTTACACCAACGAGAAAGCAATGGGATTTATTTTACAAATTATTAACGGATATTGGCCCAGTTAGCCATATACCATCTTTACCGGGGTATTCATTTTACCTTAAGAATCTACTTACAAAACTTTAGATAAAGACGTTCAATGATTTGTTTTTGTTTTCATATCCCCAAACTTCTGAAGCATACAGTAAAATGGGTTGTACAAGTTTATCAAACAATCTTAACTGGCAGTGTAGTGTCACGTCTAATATTCTTATTTTCCTCAATACTGCATACATGGCTCTGGATGCTTAAACATGCAATCGTTTAATGACTTTACAAAACAAGAGTCATCAGAAGATGACAAATCCCCCCGGCCCCCATAAATTTGAAAGAACAAATCAACTGAAAGTTACTTAAAGTCCAACTTGATATTTCCAACTTGAAGTCCAAATCGTTTCCATGGAAATCAAGAAAAATAAAAATGCCAAAAATCTGCACATAGCAAAAGGCACCACTTTAGGTTCTGTTTGATATAACTATCAATTTTTGCTGAAAAATATTGAACGGTTTTCGAAGTGTGCTCCGGAAACGAAGGCCACCTCTCCTTTTTGAGAGTAAGTCCGAATTGTTTACATGGAAACCGGAAAAACAAATATGCCAAAAATCTGCAAATAGCAAAAGGCACCACTTTGGGATCTGCCTCACATATCTGCCAAGTTTTGTTGAAAGGTATTAAGAAGTTTTCGAGTTGTCCTCCGGAAACGAAGTCCATCCCTCCCTTTTGAGACTAGGTCCGAATCGTTTCCATGGAAACAGAGAAAATAATAAATCACAAAAGTCTGTAAATAGCAAAAGGCACTTCCTTAGGTTCTGTGTAATATTTCTACAAAGTTTTGCAGATAAATATTGAACGGTCTTTGAGCTATGCTCCGGAAACAAAATGATCACGGACGGACAGACGAGGCGACGACTATATAAAAACGTCCATTGTTGTTGAACAAGACTACACATCGACTATCAGCCAGACCACCTATCAGACGTCGGCTGTTATCCCCTATCACAACCAGCACGACTAGCTTGAAGCTTGAAGCTCGACGTCACTAGAATTTGACGTCCAGGGGAAGGGTCCACTGCTCGGACGAAAGTCGATTTCTTTTGTTCATGAATGATGGTCGAGTTCATGTTTGTTGCCGCAGCAACAGGGCACATGCACAGAGGAATACATTGATGATGTCCGGGTGCCTCTCACGGGACTGTAAACGTGGCCCCGTGACGATCAAACGAATCTGAATGAACAACAGTACATCACTGACCTCCTCGACGGGTTTCTAGTACCCCAGTTTCGATGGCCGTAATCTGACAATCATGGACGACTATGTTGGCCACACCGTGCATGTGCCGTTAGTGATTTCTTAGTCAAGAGGCGGTAGCAACTCTACCATGGCCCGCCAGTGAGATCCTTCAATAGAAAATCTTGATGTACTAAACCAGCCTTCCATCGCAATACCTTAACGTCAAATTCAAAGTCTCATCCAGTCAATAAGAAGGGCCATGGATCTCATTGCCAAGTTTCAAATACAAACTGAAATATAGACATTTAGTGGTGTTATCCCGTTAGTCGCCTCTTACAACAAGCATGGGTTAGAATTGGTCTTCAGCAACTCATGCTTGTGTAAAAGGTGAATAATGGGATCGGCTGGTCGTGCTCGCTGACACTATATCGCATCCCAATTGTGTACATCGATGCTCATGATGTTGATCACTGGATTGACTACTCCACTGACGATTATTTCCAGACCGCCGCCATATTGTTAGAATATTGCTGAGTGTGGCCTTAATCAACAAAGAAATCAAACAGCCAAACATTAGCACTCATGTTCAGGTTTGAAACTTTAACTTTCAAAACAATTAGTCACCATATGAATTTGGAACATACACTTAGAAAGGAAGTATTCACCATTTGTTTTTTTTCATAAACTAAGTCCACTGCATTCTGAACTTCCATACATCTTTGGAAATACCAATATGACACTGACCTTAGTTTGAAAAATGCCCAAAACATCAATACTTGGTGAAATGCTGGTTTAAGAACAGGGTGCGTTCTTGGTCAAGCCATGATGCCAAGCAACTGAAAGGGTAGTCAAATAACTTGCTATGGAATGGTCCACTGTATGTTACTTTGCATAGAAAATGAAGCTTGGAAGTATAAAGCAGTGCTCACGGAAGCGCTGAGGGGACATGGGTAGGAGAAATTATTTTTTTTAATATCGTGCACACGAAATGCTAAATGTGCGCACGATATAATATAGTGTGGGCATGATGTAACAAAGTGTGCCCACGATGTGTTATATCGAGCCCTCGAAATAAATAGACAGGATTATAAATTAAATGATATATAGTGCGCATGGGATACTAAATTATAATATAGTATGCACACGAAATACCTTGCCGTGCGCATGAAAAGATGACATCTTTTTAATATCTCGTGTGCACGATCTATCATTTTTAAAATCCTGTGTCTCTTAATTTCGTGCGCACCCTTCGTTACATAGTGCGTACACGATATATTAAATCGTGCACACATTTTAGTATCTCGCTTCAGCGCTTCTGTATGGGACAAATTCTACTGTGATCAGCATAATTGCAGGTGCACTTTACTGAAGAAATATTAAAGATTCTAAAGTGATGGAACAGATATGAACCACCTCATAGCAAAATTGAGCAAAGTTTTGTTCAGTAAATTCTGGCAACTGAAGGGAGACAACTATGCTTGGTCAATTCAGCAGAATAGAACAGTGGAACCCACAACTCAGATTTGTTGAGTCCCTGGCTGTATCCAACTCACACGCCTGTTCCAGCAAACACAAAATATTAAACAGTATTTTCTCACGTATTTGTCTGACTGACCTCACTGAATGCATTAACTCAATTTACAGTACCAAGAGTTCAACAAGTCAAACTAACTCTGATATGTTATATCATTACTTCATTATATAAATTGATATGTATACAATACGTATATCTATAAATATAAATTGATATGTATACAATACGTATATCTATAAAAATAATGTTGATAAAACAAATGATAAAGTTTTCATTTCTCATGCAAAAAATATTTACATATATATTCATATGATAATGAACGATGATGTTTGTTTGCTTGTCTGATGGAATAATCGAACAATATGGTTTGGCTGTTGTTTATGGCTGCACTCAGTAATATTCGAGCTACATCAAAGTTTATATGGTTGAGTTGGATGTGTTGAACCCCGTGAAGTCAACTAAATCTCTATCCCAGAGGTTTGACTGGATGTCTTAATGATAAAAACACTGATCCAGCCTTGCAGTTTACATGAAATCTGATGCCATAACTACAATCACTACTACTAAATTGCCAAAATAATGTTTATTATTCTGATATTATGACTTTCAGATTTTCAATAGTCTTGGATTAATCAGTTCTTGTCCTACTTCATCACCAACATACCATTAAAAAGGTGCTCATGTTGATCATGGTGTGTGTCAAAAACTAGTTCTGCAGCTTCCAGAGATCTGCATGATTCTCTTAAAAAAACCAAAACAACAAAACTTTGTCACACACTGAAATGTAAGTATCTGTATTTACATGTAAAACATGTTACAATTCCTTTGTTTCGGAAACTTTAACAACAAGCATATACAGTGTGCTACTTATACAATCTTACAAATAACAAATCCAGGTAACTATATGTAGATAGACACTTGGCACAAGGGGTAAAACACCCCCACAGTTACACAAGTACGTCTGACAGCAGACATAAAATTTGACTGACCAACAAAACAGATTCACAATATATACAAACAAAATGGTGAGATTTAAATAAGTATGAGACATGGGAACAAATCCTTCTATTGAGAACATGCTGTTGCTCTTTTAGAAACAGATAAGAAATGAAATTCCACTCTGTCATCAGCTAGCACCATCTATCTGTTGTACAAACAACAGAGTGGAAAGGACCAGCACTGGTCACCATACTAGGTCTGCACCAAACACTGCACTTCCACTGCACTCTTTCTTCACTTGCCACCATGGAGTGATAAACTTGGCTGGCCATCCATTTCACCTGGGCCTGACTGTCCAGGTAGTGTCTTCTAACATAGGTATTATGAATAGAATACACCAGTGTGCCTTGGAACACAACACATTGAGTGTTTACACCCATTCCTCACATCCAGATATTATGAATATTGAGACTGGAGTTTCTTCTCTCTCCTTTCCTCTCATTCAAACCCTGAGGTATCTCCTGCCCCTCATGGGACTAATGCAACATATCTTGTCCACTCAAGACACACATCTGCCATTCTATGTATCCTTCTGACAATATAACTCTTTCAAAGCTTTCAACTCTTCAATTAAAGTTTTGTTCTGATTTTCTAACACTGCCACTCTGTTTTCGAGGCACTTGACATATTCCTTCTTTTTTCTTCGACACTCTCGAGCAGCTTCTCTGTAAGATGAATACAATTACAACTTTATTGAAACATGAAAATCCTTTCAATTTTCACACTGATCAAAGGCTTTACACTCATGTCCACTCAACAGTGTCAAGTCTCTTATCCATCTTGCTGACAATATAATTCTTTCAAAGCTTTCAACTCTTCTATCAAAGTTTTGTTCTGATTTTCCAACACGGCAACTCTGTTTTCGAGGCACCTCACATATTCCTTCTTTTTCCTGCGACATTCTTGTGCTGCCTCTCTGTAATTTGAGTGAAAATGTTTTCATTTTAAAATATGAAATGCCAAATTTTCTTTACTAAAGACAAGAACAACCAACAGGTTTAAAATGACCTTGAAACAAAACATGAATTTCAACACTGGTTAACACAAACAGCATCCCAATATCCGAACATAAATACTACAATCAGAGGCAGACTCATCTTGAGAGTGTCACGTAACATTGTGTTTTCGAAAACAAGTCATTCAAACCCAATGCAACTGAAGTAAAGATTGCATCGTAATAGTAGTAACAGTGACACAATACTTCCACCTGAGCAGGACCATACATACATGGGTGTTATGCTGTTGTTAAGATCATGTTGATTACTTCACCACACTCATTGATAAGAGTATGTTTGTGGGCATGCATGCACGGTGTTGGTGGCCCATTAATTCAAATAATCTAGAAGATCTAAAGGATGACAACTAGTTTTAATAATTATTTATTTATAATATTATATGGTGCGATGGGGTAGCCTAGTGGTTAAAGTGTTTGATCGTCACGCCAAAGACCCAGGTTCGATTCCCCACATGGGTACAATGTGTGAAGCCTGTTTCTGGTGTCCCCCGCCGTGATTTTGCTGGAATATTACTAAAAGCAGCGTAAAACTAAACTCACTCATTATAATATCATATCATTTGACACAAACAAATTGAGTTACTTCCTTTTACCCAATGCATTCAGACAAAAAGATTATGATCTATTCCGTGCTGGTTTAAGAGATAACCCAAGTTGTTCTTGTGGAAATGTTTGTGAAAATTCTTATCATTGCCTATTTGACTGTCAATTATATACAGTACAGAGAACTACCATGATGACTAAATTACGCAGCATTACAAATGTGGATATAACCTATGAGTTACTATTACATGGCAATGCAGATCTGACTGTTCACATAAATCAAAACATATTTAAAACTGTTCAAACATATATTTGTCATTCAAAACGATTTTCTTAATTGTTGCAATTGTTCCTCTTTTTCCCATATTTCTGTTCTGTTCTTCTCTGTCCATCTTGTAGAATGAATGTAAATAATACTATGTAAATACTACGGAGAGGGTGTTCTAAGTTGTATAACTTGTACCCGATCCTTTTCTCATGAATAAAATATGTTTAAAACAAAACAACAGATTTCAGAAACTCAATACTACTTGGACCAGATAAGCTTGTTACATCAGATGTGTCCTGACTGATTACTACAGTCCGTTTGGGTTCAAATGAGAACAATGAATGATTAAATAACTCAAAATAGGGATAAGTGCAAAAAACATAAATAAGACACAAGGCCCTGATACCTCAGTACCCAACAGGATCTCAAATCTGAGGTTTATTATCAATCACGCATAAGGTTGTTTAAGAAACTATCATGTAATATTGTTCTATTTCATGCTTCACACTGAGGGGTGATAAACGCCTGGTGGAACAGCGCTGGCACAAACTTAAGGGGCAGCTCAGGAAGGTGTATGATTATCTTAAAGGTCACATGCAACGTAAAACACAACTTTGCCGATTCTGATACCTTTCGGTATGGACTTACCGAAACAAATCGTCAAAAATGCAAATTCAACTTATAAAGTTGAAAAAAAAACCACGATGAAAAAAAACGCGCGAAATCGGAGTTCAAACGTTTCACTAATTTTCCCCCGACTTTTCGGGGGAAAACGGGTTTCAACAGCTGGGCTGCGCTTATAGCATGAGCGCAGTGAAGTAGGTTCGCGCAGCTTGGAAGCGGTTGTCCGGTGAATACTCGGTGAAGGCTTTGGTGTGAGCTATTTTTCTAATGTTTTGTTGATATCTCACAGGCGCGAGCTTTTCATATGTTATGACAGTAAATTAACTGTTTATATAATTTCATTTTTCTATTTCACCACACATTCTTCTTACCGAGTCACTTTCTCAGTTCGATACTTAAAAGCAATGCCATTATTTAGCGTTGACAGAATTTCCAACTGTGATATAGATATGTCGTTGTCACAGACTAAACTCAATGTCTTGTTTTATTGACACCTGTGGGTCTGTGTGTCTGCCTGCCTGTCTGCTAATGTCAATATTCAATACACAGCTGCTATCACTGACCACATGCAATTTGAACTTAACACCAATCAGGCTATACACCATAAACAAAATGCATTGATTTATGGCCCGAGTTCGGTCTCTGTCACATTATGTAATTACACAGACAGGCAGGCGTGATACTTGAACACATGACCTGTTATGATGTCTGTTGATTGTAAAATGTTATACACAAAAAATGAGCATGTATTTACAAAACCCAACATCTCTATATATACACACACAATGACCCGTGAGGGCATCTGCAAATGAACCAGCCGTTACACTTGAGTGCACACCCACCCGCTCTGACTGGGTTTCGGTATCCCGGCTGCTTCGTTTCTTGGGAAGTAAACTGAAGTACACAATATTGCACTTTTGATTTGCGATTGTACGCTTATAATCTTGTTTATATGTTTTTTCATAACCAGCAATGTATATTATATGTCATGAATAAGTGATAATTGTGTTTTAATTATGTTTGAGTTTTTGGTTGCATGTGACCTTTAAACTTGAAGCAGAGAGAGGAAAACCACTCTACGCCATTAATAATAATCTAAAGAAAGCCTCTAAAGCTCTTGGTTTACCCTTTAGAATACTGAAGATTGTTGTAACTCACCGTGACTCGACATGTGCAATCACTCAGGTGGGGAACATATCAAAGGCTTGTAAGATAGATAAATTAGATAGTTTTAAAAAAATCAGATCAGACTATCAACAGGGGTTAAAAAATCCCATCGTCTGACGCCGGGACAAGTCCGTTTTCACTCAGGGCGATCAAATAATGGTATCTTACTTGTCCGTGGGCTACCAGACAATTTCTGCAATGTTTACAGTTTCAAACTGCAAATAAACTCGGATTTCATTTCATATCTGCTCAAAATGTAGCTATTACACTTTGACATGATACGAGAATGAAATGAAGTAACTTTCACAATGATAATAAACTAGAGTTATCGTTCTTTGCTTTTTATCACTCCTCAATTGGGGCCTCGCAGAAAGGCTATAGAAACCGAAGCATGCCTTTGTATAAATAATTGACCAATCACTGACAAGAAAGCCAGTATGTACTCGAGTCAACAGTCAGGCCGAGACAGAATAGCAGACAACCAAGTTTCAACATTTGATGTTAGAAAAATGTCACAGAAACTGATCGATAGTTTTACAATCAGGTTTAAAAAGGCCTCGGGTGACGAAACCGAAGCAGATGTTTGCACCAAACAGTTGAAAGATTAAAAATGACAAGAAGAAACATTGTAGACATTTTCGAAAGTCTTGGAGTTCAATATGGCCATGGTTACCTTACGACGAAAGCAAAGATGTTATGACTTGTAAATATTGTGCACGATTTCCGTCTGTATCCACGAGGCATGGGGTAAAGAACATGTTTGTCAATGGGTGCTCAAAATTCTGAGTAGAATAGTTTAAAATTCACAATAGTTCAGCACTTCATGCTCAGTGTTTGTCATGCTTTAGTCACAGCGTTGAAATCACATCGTGATTTAGAGGTTGGGACAAGCTATAACAAAGTAGAGACAGACAGAAAACTTTTGAAGTGTTTTAAAAACATGGACAAAAAGAATTACGATCAAATTGAGCAATTGTTTGTGACAGCATTTCTCATTGCTATCAAAGGAAAACCACTTAGACTTGCTTGAAAGGGTTGGTGTGGACAGAGGGCATAATTACAGGAACATTGATGCTACGAGCAAGTTTATTCAAGCAATAACTAAATAACCTTTTTACAATATAAGAGTCAAAGACTTCTATATAAAAAGATAATGATAATTATTACCGTATATTACCGTAGAAAAGCCGAACTTTGAGGAGAAAAAAAAGCAGTCTGTAGAAGGGGGTCGGCTTATGTATGGGTTACACTTTCGTCAAACTTTTTTCCAGGGGGTAAGAAACACTTTGTGTGAGCAAACAAACAAGAGAAGACGACTTTGTCAGTAAGGACGTCAAATTTACAATTAAACACCACTAGACAAGATTATTTCTAATTTGTTTTTGCTAGGCATTGTATTATTGCAGGGATTAAGATTGCCGTGTGTTTTTGTCTCATATATAGAGACGGAAATAGCAATCAGGTGTGCACACGTTTCCTGGCGATCTACCAGTGATTTAGTTAAAACATACACAATAATTAAACGGGATGAATTTTAATACAGAAAACTATTATTTAACCCAAAGAAATATATCCTAGCATTGTGTTATTTTAATTACAGGTTTTGCTCCATAAATGCAAAATATACATAATCAACACTAAGGTTATATGGACCCTCATGAACATGGTAAGTGGAGGTTGTACGCGCATAGAATGAGGTGGAATAAGCATGCCATTAAAATTCACACACGTTTTCACCGATGTTACTGTAAACTAGCGGTGCATGAATAACAAGGAGGTAATCCGTTCATGATTGTTGATATGTGAAATTGGTGCTATCATGGTTGGAGCGAAAAACATACCCTCACAAACATGGTAAACAGATGTTGTACGCACATGGAATGGGATAAAACAAGCATTGTCACTAAGGTGACATAATCCCCCGCCGCAAATTATCAAATCAAACTTATAAAGAAATGAAAGTTTAAGTTAAATGTCAACAAAAACATGACCAGTCAACAAAAACATGACCAGTCAACCTCTCTTGATATCCTGCTCTTTAGGTGTTC